CCCATGGCCAAGGCATTACCACGAGGAAATTTTATACTGCGGAATTAAGCACAAAGCATAATCTATACGAAGCTTTCTTTCACACTATGATCCCAGAAGGAAACTCCCACGCTTTCCCTCAATGGTTCTCTTCCCCCCTTCATCACGCATCGACTGCGATTCCGATGATTCCCCAAAATGAGGGGGGGGGGGGGATGACAATCACTCAAGCCACTCGAGCCACTGCGGATATCGCGTCAAGGCAGCGAGGGGTTGGGAAAATATGAGACCATTTTCATCTACTCTACCCCATAGAGAGATATGCTCATGTCTCAAAGATAGATGATCACATCTGTTTACCAATTCCGGATTCCGTCTCGGTTTTCTTATCTACGGAGTACGAATCCAGTGCGTGCTTGGTATCTTTTTTATACTTTCGCCGCAATGAACTGAAAGGAAAGGAGTGGATACAAGACGGTGAATGGATGGAAAATACACCTCCAACCATTTAAGGTTACTTTCGTCTAAAGGCGGCCCGAAGAGGCTGCGGGAGTTGTCGAATAAAGCTACTGACTCGAATGATCTGCAACGTAAGGCGAAATCAGTCAGGTACAAGCTTGAAAAAATTAATTCATTCGAATTTTTAGCATCAATTTACTCCAGATTTTGATGTTGGAGAAGAGAGAAGTCAAACGTGGTGACTTTGGGACATCGTGTCGATTACTTGCATCAGTGATCAAGTCCAATCCAACTCATATTGTTGGCAAGATTCATATCCTCAAGGTTTGGCATGCAATACCACGCACTACCCCAGATTCAATACCCTGAATTAGTCAAAACGTACATGGTCAATACCGAGATCACACTGAATTATTATCAAATTATGGCGATTTCATGGAGACCGTTGTTCACGTCGCCTCGCCAAAACATAATAGTTACTTTTTAGTGGAGTCACAAAGGAACAAATGGTCCACTGTCACTGATGAAACTCCATAGAAAAGAATTTTACTTACGTCTTAGGAACCACCTTCCAACATGGTCTTACCATTCGCACTGACGTTCCCCTCATTGAACTTACTTGAATTCAATAGAAATTGATTGTCAATCTTTGGCTTATCTCGGTGTCGAGCGTGTCTAGCCCCGTCCAGAAACCCTACATATTTTCGTCTCGTGTCCACATCTTGATGTTATTTTGCCATCTTTCAACTCTCTTTCAACACTCAGCTACTCCTTCCTCAACTGATAGCTGCAATCCTTTATTCTTGTTCCAACGTCCGTCATTAGCATCCGAAATCGACCGCAACATCTCTCGACTGTTGAGAAAAGGCTCAAGACAAAAATTTGCAAGCGAATCATAAAAATCTGCAAATATGGACCCCGAAAAGGCAACTTCGAATAAAGCCACCAAAGATGATATCACAGCCGCCAACAATGTTCGTGGTAACATCAGGGCGGACGATCAGTCCTCCGATATGAAGGTAGCAGAGGTACTCGATGCTTTTGGTAATGAGGAAGGCGCAGAGGTTCAATGTAAGCTTTTTTACTCCTTGATTGGCGAAAGAATTTGCTGACAGTATCATCAGACAAAACCATGACTTGGTGGCAAGGAGCAATCGTTATGATTGCTGAAAATATTTCCCTTGGTATCCTTTCTCTACCAGCTGTTTTGGCCAAGGTTGGTCTCATTGGTGGTCTCATCTCGATTCTTGCTCTCGGTGTTTTCACTACATATTCTGGTTACATCTTGTGGCAATTCAAAATGCGATATCCTCAGGTATGTTAGGTTCTAGGAATGGTCTTTGAATATTTACAGTTTCTAACAAATTTCTTAGGTTACAACTTATGTAGACATTGGTGGTATCTTGATGGGAACCTGGGGAAGAGAGATCTTCGGTGCTGCTTACGTCATTTATTGCATTTTCTGCATGGCATCGCATCTTTTGACTTTTACCATTGCTATGAATGTTCTCACGAACCATGCAACTTGTACCATCATCTGGGGCGTCGTTGGATTGGTTGTCTTCAGTTTCCTCTCTTTGAACAGAACCCTCAAGAATGTCTCGTTCTTGTCCATTGTTTGTAAGTTTTGCCAAGTCTATTACCGAATTTCGCTAACCACTGCAATAGCATTCACCAGTATTCTTTCCGCCGTCGTCCTCACCATGGTCGCCTTGGGTGTATCGCCAAAAGCTGACGCCGCAGACATGAAGGGAACTTACAGCCCATCTTTCCCAACCGCTTTCAACAGTATTTCCAACGTCGTTTTCGCATACGGTGGTCACGTTGCCTGGGTCAGCTTCATTGCTGAACTCCGCGATCCAAAGGACTTTCCAAAGTCTCTCGTCCTTCTTCAAACTGTCGATATCAGTCTTTACTTCGTCGCTGCTCTCGTCATTTACAGATATGCTGGTGAAGATGTCGCAAGTCCAGCTCTTAACAGCAACAGTCCTATTGTTCGCAAGGTTGCATGGGGAATCGCTTTACCAACCATTATTATCGCAGGAGTTATCTTTGCTCACGTCACTGTTAAATATATTTACATTCGACTTTTCTCCGGAACCAAACACTTGAACAGTCGAGGATTGATCGCCACCGGAACTTGGGTCGCTCTCGCTTTCGGAACATGGACTGTCGCGTGGATTATTGCCGAATCCATTCCCGTCTTTTCCGATCTCCTCGGTTTCATTTCTGCTCTTTTCGCGTCTTGGTTTTCTTACGGTCTCCCTGGTATCTGCTGGTTTTATATCAACTGGGGATCATGCATGCAAGGCTCCAAGCAAATCTTCTTGAGTTTCGTTAATATTGTCTTGATTATTTTAGCGTGCATTATGTGTTTTGCGGGTTTATACGCTAGCGGTTATTCTATGAACTTGGATACTGCTACTTCTCACGGTGCTTGGTCTTGCGCGGATAACCAACATTAATTGGTTATCTTGGGGTTATATTATAGCATTTGCATTGCATTGCGTTGCGAGGTCTTCTTTATTTTCTTGGGAAAAGCAATCGAAAAGCGAAAGGCAAAAAGCAAAAAGCAAAAAAGCATGATACCCATTAGGGAATTTCATATCGGTGGAGGCTTCTTTTATGATATCGAATTCCGGTTTATATGATTTGGGCAATTAGGTGTCTTAGGCGCGTATGTACTTTGGGAGTACGAATTTTGGGATGGGGGGCATTCTCACTTGATTGAATGAATGGATGGGGTCGAGCTGGATATGAATGACTGGCCTTTTTTGTATATTATCGGGTAATGGTGTGATGAGAATTATGGTGTGATGAATAAATTATCTAAATGAATGGAGATTGATTCATTGGAATAGATGTTTTTTTTCTTCAATGGTTTCCATGACGTGAATACATAGTGAATTTGTGATGTTGAGATGAGATTGATGTGAGGATATATTAATGAAGTTCCTGGTATCAAAAGCGGGAGATATAAACTCTCCTCGATGAGATGCGATGAGATGAGATGAGATGAGGAACTACAATCTTCTAGCTGGCGGGAATGGAACTCATCGCATACGGCAATTGCTACATTTTCCCCCAGTCTACAGATCTGAAGAGAGATAGAGAAAGAAAGCAGAAAGTTTATCACCAAGCGAATGGATGACAAGACAAAATAGCATGGAAACAAGTTGTTTGAAGATCTGAGTGACTTTGAGGAATGTCATCTATGTAGGTAGGTAGGTAGGTAGGTAGGTAGGTAGGTAGGTACATACATGTGTGCACGATGGAGTAAGGAGTACGGAATACGGAGATGAGAACTTGGAATCTCTTTACTGTATTGTATCGTACTGGATTATAATTTGTGAGTATTTAGATATCTATCTGAATTATTCTTCTCTCCCCTCCCTCCCTCTCTGCGGCACTATACATACCATACCCCCCCTATACACAACATACCCACCGATTAGATACATCATCCATACAAGAAACTCCGTACTCCATACTCTGTAGGTACTCATACTCCATACCATACCACATGATCACTCTCCCCATCTCCATCTCCATCCATCTCCCGATGCTCCCATCCCTGCGCCAGGATATGTACCTAGCATGTACGGAGTACATAATCGAATATTCCTAGCGTCTTCTCCCCATCTCGTCCTCGTGATTCTCATCATCCCACTCTAGAGTCTATGCCGCTGTCATATGTACATACGAAGTACAGGTCCTTTTCTCCGAGTACCGGGAGGTATCCATTCTGTACTTACGATAGGTACGCTAATGAATAATGAACAATAATAAAATACCCGAATGCCTAGGTAGGTATCCCTGTTTTTGTTTATGTGGGGTGGGGTTGCTCCACTTGTGCGGATTGTTGTGGAGGATGATGTAAGCGTGTGAGTAATTATATATTGTAATAGGGTTGCCGATAGTATATAAAATAACCAGGTCGCTTAGCTCAGTTGGTTAGAGCGTGGTGCTAATATCTTCTCTGATTAGGTAATCAGTAAGACAAAAACGCCAAGGTCGGCGGTTCGACCCCGCCAGTGATCATTTTTGGGGTTCTATTTCTTTTGCGTTTCAAGTTGGGGTTGTTGGTGATACATGTGAGAAAAAATATATATGTAGGGATGAAATAGATGGGAGGGAAAGGGTTTGTGGAGAGGCTGTATGTATATATGTCAATGTTAATGTGCGACGCTTTTTGGTGATAGGAAAGCTTGAGGAAGAAGAATATATCAAAACGAGCTGAAATATCAAAGTTTTGTATACGTATGTACGATATCTACCTAGGTATTTATAATCTTTTGATATTTGGAAGGTTGCTAGTATGAGGGCAAAGTAAATTTTTCCTACTTCAGATTCTCGAATTTGAGGGATCAAATGAAATAGAGAGTAGTGTATTATTAAACAGTTGTTTTGAGAAAGAACCCCTTTTTATAATGACTATCCGATAGTCAGTTGTACCATCTCTGATCAAGAAATGATGCTAACTGCTGAGCTCTTATCTTTTGTACATGGTGGTTGTGGCCGCGTGATAATCATTTGCGATTAGATGTTTTCAAATAGTGAGGTCAGACTAAGTTCATCCATTGCCGCGCTTCAGTTTGAAACAACTTTTTGGAGTCCTCAGAAGTCTTCAATCTGTAGAATCCTACTCGGCGATAATGGCTGCTATCTGACTCCATAGCAGGCTGTAGAATTAAGCCGGAGATTGGTTTGGCCTGGGCACCGAGTTTACAAAGGTTCAAAAGCCAGAGGTCTTCTCTGTCGGTAGCACATTTGTTTGTTATGTCGGCATGCTCTAGATCATATTCTTGGTCCATAACCGAAAATTTTACGCTCATGGGGTATGACTTCTTCCATACGAGCTTACCGGGGCCTTTTGAGAATGCATTCAGGCGAAGTATTGGGGGTTGAGAGTCAGTTGCAGGTATATACTCGTGATTAGATTGGTGGGAGAGCTGTTGGTCTGTATTCAGCACTTCGGAGTCTTCCATGTGGAAAATTCCCTGGTAGAAGGAGAGGTGTTGGTGAGAACACCATGACCAAGAGGGCCAGCTTGAGTCTAGGGATGAGTTTCCGAGAGGGATCCACATCAAGCTATACTTCATATTAGTCTTGAAGTGATAGAAGGAATTATAGAGTCAGAAGTCGGCCTATATAATCTGGAACAAAGATGAGAAACAAAAAGTATGTTTTTGGCACTGATTTGGATTTCGAGCACAGACTTGAATGGGATACTTCAGTGCAAATTTCACTTACCATCTAGGAAGGTCCTCAAGAAACGTGCCAAAAATATTTGTATGAAATCCAAGGCGTTTCTGAAACAAAGCAGAGCAAGCTGCAAAAGCAGCTGCTTTGTCTGAAGAGTATGATAAGTTGCGTTGACAATACTGGTCTACCATATTGTAGTAAAGCCTTACAAGTGCGTCAAAACTAAGATCATTAGAATTGAGTACAGTCGGATGCCCAAGCCGTCGGGCCTTTATGAAGCCAGCTTCTACTCGTAAGCCTGCGAGATCATTCTCTGTAAGTTCTTGCTTGGGGCTTGTCTCCATAAAAAATCCCTTTGCACATTCAAAATATATCCTACCACAGGTAAAGTGTAGAATACGGGGAGAGAGAACGCGTTCTTGTAAAGTCCACGCCCTGGTATTCCAGATACTCCTTTGATGAATGTCCCACGTCCAATCAATGGGAAATTCGTTCTGCAAATCGTACAGATCTTGACTGAACATAATGTAGGATCCAGGCTCGCTATTCATCAGGTAGAAAGGCAGTTTGACTGATGGCTCTAACGACGGATAAGGGGGTAGGAAGCCGGATTTACTATTGATGCCAGATGTGGCGCAGATACACAACGCCGCGTTCCCGTAAACATCGCCCATACGTGCGATTTCTACGGACTTGTCGGGAATGGAATCTTGAAGAATGCAAATAGAATCGATCCACAGATACTGAAATCCCAGGTCACGAGTAGCAATGATGGCATCCCTAAACGTGGCGGGCAAATCTTCCAAAGGCATTCCTTCCATCCGAGACGACAGAGTTGATGTTTGACTTGTATATTGAGCTTCGAATGGGTGTTCTTTGCATATTCCCCAGCAGTGGCTCAGAGTCACATATTTATCAACAATACCATTACCCATGACAAGCTTAGGAGGCGAGCTTCTGACATCTATAACCCTTGTGGGTAGGATACTGGGCGTCGTGCCTCGACAAGTATCATGCTTGTCGCACATTCTCAACCACATCTGCGCAATGCTGATCGCTTCATAATTCCATGTTCGTGATCCAGGACGAACCAGGAAGTACTTCGAAGCAGTGTTTCCACCGTCGCCTAGTCAAATCAGCAATACAGTCGTCCACAGGATTGGATCTTACCATATTCTGCGTACAGGACAAAACTAGCTTCAGATTGCCAAGCACCATCCACTTTAAATATCAGGTTGTTGTAAATTGGCAGTTCCAACTGACATCCATAACTTCCGGAAACATTTACTTCTATGAAGAATCAGCATGGTAAGCAATTGTTACACAAGTAAGATTGATGGACATATCTACCTCCGTTCTTTGGAGAACGGCTTTCAGCAAACCTGCGCAAGAGGACATCCCTCAAAGCCCCGCAGAGGTTGCAACCATCGTTAAACGAGACCAAAAGACCTGGGAAGTCAGGCGTTGTATCTTTTCGATGGTATGGCACTTCAACGTGATACACCCAATCTTCCTCACCACGTCCGGGTAAGCCACGGTCAACAGTGAATTCCTCGCACTGTCTGCAAGGAGTATTTACCAAAGCCATCCTACTATTGGATTGCTTTTGAAACTTTGCACTCGTCGTTGAGAGAGAGAATCGGAGATTTTGAAGAGGGGAGGTGAGGATGTAATGGTGTGGTAAGCTCGTTTGGACAGCCAATGATGTCAAACCCCTGCTGTTTCCATGTGTGGGTGTAGAGAGAATATAGATATGAGTAGTACGGTGATAATTTTCCTCGAGAATGATACATCTCTCTATGATCGAGACTCATGCCTTCCTGTTGGGTGATCTGTCTCAGAGAAATATTTTAAACCTGCAGATTGCCCACGCGAAATTCCGCGTAAGTGATTTGACTTCGAGTGACTCCACAGGGGATTATATTTCTGCTCAGTTATACAAGAGCTTGATGTTCAATAAACTCCATTTTCTGCTTCAACGTCTCCGCTCGCTTATCTCCCCCTATATTCGCATATAGGTTGATTTCATTTCGAAGCTGACATGCCTGTCGTAAAAGACATGTTGATACAACTCATACCTTAATCTTATCATGCCAAAGAAAATCGTCACATTAGTCTCGCCCAAAAAGTAGTGGACTAAAAATCGCACGATCGGAATCTGACCAAATCTGTTCCTGCGATCCCACTCGCTGCTGTGCTTCGGGCATAATGCAGTACATCGCTTAGTTTCAATATTTGAACATATTGTAATATTGAGCAGTGTCTGCCACATACGACCATAGACTGAAGAGAATTGGGCATTCCGTCCGCTCTGCCATACACAAGCTTTAGATCGGTGGATTAGTAGTTGGGTGGGTGACCACCAGCGAATCCCCACTGTTGTATGTTTTTGACTTTTTTTGTTTTCCTCAATTTTTATACGTTATTGTTGCGTCGTTTGGTGTGCAGGGTTGAGGATGTTGAAGGGAGGCAAAAGGGCGAAGATCTGGAGAAACTGTCTTTGTCATCAGATCGGGTAGTATCAACTAACCTCGATGTTGTGTCTGTATGAAGGTTTCAACTGGTACCAATTTTTGATCCCTTAGCGCGAAATACTCTATGATAGATAGATATACTTTGCAGTACATAATTTCGCAATGGGAAAGGTTCTTGAATCCCGTCTCGTGTAAACTAGTGCCTTCCTTCTTGAACAGTAATTGAGCCATCCAATCTCTTCATATCGAAGCGTTACCGAATCTTCATCACCGCGTATCATGGCGTCTTGTACCATCAGTCATTGGTGCAGGTTGAATTCATCAGATATTTACTGTACATGGTTGGCTTTGGGTGGACATCCTCGATTGGGATCGATGTAATATATACAGGATCACATCCTGAACCTGCAATGAGCCCTTTCTGAAATTTACACGGAGTCAGAACTGAAATAATTGATAGCTGAGAGACTGGGTGGTTTTTCTACTTGACTTAATTCACAATTGGACATCAGATCCAGGCTTAGATTGGATAGGAAAATGTATTGCGAAGGGAAAAAATGACATTTCGTAACTGACGAGCTAGGAGAAAGTTCAACGCAACAATTTTATGATGCAGATGACAGGTCTGGAGTATGTGGCGGGTGGAAATAATCATGGTCAGAAGACAGGGTGTTATGTTTTCTCAGAACCATTATAATACTAGTCAGCATTGATATTCCTAATCTGGTTCTTGATATATTATATATGTTTCAATGCATATTGCTATGATCTCCAGGTACAGTCGGCTCTCCTTGCAGAACCAACCTATCCTAAAAGCTCTGCAGGAACCTCAACCCACTTATCCCTCACGTAATCCGCAAATCCCTTTCCAAGACAATCCAATCGACTACTGCTACTAACACCTCTCCCCAGATACCCATAGATCACGAAATGTACCGCCATTATTGCTGGAAACTCAACTCTTTCAATTACATATCCTTCTTTCCATTCTTCGCCCAATAATTGTTGCATTTTCGAACGACTGAAATAGTTCTGAAGCCAGCTGTATAATTTAGGGTTTGAGGATGATGGGATAAATATTCCGCAGTTGAGATTGGCGCCTTTATCGCCGGAGCGAGCGAGTGCTATATCGCCTAGTTGAACACTTTTTGTAGGTCCAAATGTGGAGAGGGATTGGGGAGAGACAGTGTCGTATGTAGCGCGACAAGTGAATGGTTGATATTTTGGTGGGTGTCCGCATTTGAATGTCTGTACTTTATTGTCGGAATTGATGATATGCATTTGTTCATCAAGTTCATCTTGAGGGAAAAGCGCTGGATAATATGCCAGGAAGGGTTTGGGGATCGCAGTACGCATATCGAGGGATGCGTGGAAACCTGAGAAGTGTTGAAGAGATATTTCGGTGAGGGCTTTGACTAGGCCTTGAAGAGTTGCAGCTTCGACGGCTTCGGCGAATACACGGCAATAAGTTGTGCTGCTGAGTTGTGTCGAAGGATTCATTTCGGATACACCGATGCTGTATAATCAGTAACTCGTTTATTCAAGAAATTGCACGTAAAAAGGGACTCTTACGTTTGAAATTCCAAGAGTTCAAAAGATTTATCGATTCCAGCAATTTTTAATTTTCTTCTCATCTGCGTTTCAAATAGAGCCCATTTCTGTTTGGTACCATAACCTGTTGCGTTTACCAGAATCTGGCATTGATATCCGGCATGATAAAATATTGCTGCTTTGGTTGTTGGAGGTGGCGGAAGACCAGTAACACCGGTAACTTTGACACTTTTACCATTACATTAGTGACCAAATCTCGACATGTAGGCAAATTTTTGACACTCACCGGTTCTCAGATAATTGAGAGACAGATATATTATCAAGGACGGCAGTCACATCACTATTCAGGTAATGATTACCTTGAATCTCATACAGAAATTGGGCCACAACAGTATCAGAAGTAATCATCCCACCAGTAGCTTCATGTTTAGTGATTGTGCAAGAACCATCTGCTTCGATTTCCGCAATAGGGAATCCTGGATCAACGAAAATGTCCTGATCATATTCAGTGAAGCCAGAAAAATTGGCTCCAGTTACATAGGCTGAACATTCTATTAGATGACCGGCGATCAAAGATCCAGCAAGAGAGTCATAATCAGTTTCTGACCACGAGTGCCAATACTAAAATGTCCGGCAGTCAGTAAATATCTATGATCAAAACATTTTCACGGGACCAAAAAAAATGTTCAATAGCAAACCGAGGAAGAAAGAATGTTAAGGAAAATGGTATTAGCATTAGACTTACCCATGCAGCGGCAATCACAGGAGATGCGTCAGAAACTCGCCCGCAAATTATAATATCGGCACCTTCACGCAAACCCTTAACAATAGCATGAGCTCCAAGATAAGCACTACTTAAAACAATAGGAATTGATCTACCTTCCAAAAACGAGAAGGTATTGGCCGGTAATTGTAGGTCCTGATTCCATGAATCAAAGTGTTTCGGTAACTTTCCACGTAAGGGTGCCATATCCGGTCCGATCTGTGAAATCAGGTCATCTCCAGAGACCCAGCCAACCTTAAGAGCAATGCCGCGTTGTTTGGCAAGTTCATCAACTTTTCTTGCTAAGCCTTCGGGATTCAAAGCTCCTCCGTTAATAACAACCTTGGTGTTTTTCTCGGCTAGTAATTCAAGAGATTGAGACAATCCCTCCAAAGCAGTTGAGATATATCCTGGATGATTTCCAGCTCTATATGCCTCTGCATTCTCCGCCATATTCATCTCTTCCGAGGGTTTATTAGCTTCGTTCATGTTTCTCACACATCAATGACATACCTGCAAGGTAGTCACCGGTAACAAAATCGACATTTCCTAATGAAATCTGTTCGTACATCCTATAAGCGGGATCACCTCAGGAGAGAGTCAGTGTCTTTCTCAGGGACTCATATCAGAAATCACGAACATAAGTAACCCGAACAATTGGCAACTCTGACGGGTCTTTTGGGCTGCAAAGCCCCATGGATTGGCGTTTCATTTGTCGTCGCCATGGCATCGAAGCTGGGCACTGATTGACAAGATATTGATATGTGAAGGTAATGACGAAGCAGAGGAATGAAGAAGGGCAAATCTGAAGAGAGTAATTTCACATGAAGCCGATATATGAGTTTGGCTACATAGTTTTTCTTCAATCTCGGTGGCTTGTAGTTAGCCTCGGGGTTTGAGACTACTGCAGGTGATGCTGCGTTGGGTAATTTTTATACGAGCGGATGAAGAGGATCTGCCGTCAAGATTTGCAGCCATGACCACAACTAAGTTATGTATAGTGTTTGATATACAACACATATTTCTAGCGATCACCGTGAACCAAGCAATGATAAGTCACTGCGGTAATGACGGAAATGGCGGATCTCCTTTCACTGTGCTTGATACCAGATTGTGGGGTAACAGCATGCGGCCGATCTGCGGCTCATACTGAAAACGCAGAGTCTATTCCATCCCAATTCCCAAATAGGAAATTTCTCGTGAAAGCATCATCGGCCCAAAAGACTCAGAGAACAACACGACAGCCCAGAGCTTCTTTTGTGTCAATTGACTCACTGTCCGAATGTTTTCCTATAGTAAAAATATGGATAATGCGTGTCACTTAAGCCGAGGCCCGTTGATGGGTTCTCGGACTAAAGTTAAAAAGCTTGATAGTGTGGCTACCACTCTGTCAGTATGAGTACTCCTATAAAGAGCTTCCGGTGGAAGGTACCTTTTCAAGTATCATTTGTCACTCAATCGATATAACAAGACGATCATGTATTCTGTACCAGAAGAGACCAGAAAGGTTTTCCATCAAGGGATATTGGAAAATCCTACCATCATCCCCAACCTGCCAAAGGACTTTCAAGATCATGCCAAGAAGATCAAATTCGAAGGAGAGGATGCTCCAACTATACCAATAAACTGGCGATTCGCTGAGAGTATATCTTCAATCAAAGCTTTGGAAGCGACGGTGCTTTTATCGCTGTTGAAAAAGAAATATGATGTGGAGCCGAAAGAAGTTATCATCAACACGTGAGTAACCTTTGATCATACTAAAGCGACGCCGTCTCGTCTCCTAAATCCACACCCTTGCCCCTTCCCTCATATCACATCCACCTTCGCTTTCGCAACGACAGTTATTAACAAATTGCAATAAATACAGCGATCATGCACAACTTTTTATCATGTCTACTCTATTGTGGGAGATTAATCACGAAGGAACCAAGGTGACACTATTCAATGCCTCTGATCCGAATTCTGAAAATGGAAAACTTCTTGCAAAATGGTTCCCTTCGACCGATATTCACAGATTACAAGGAACATATCATCGTGCCTCTTGTACAAACATTTACAAGACAAAAGATGGAAAGTACTTTCATATACATGGTAAGAGTGCTTCTGAATGATTTTGGAGATGTCATATTTGCTCACTTCGTTCAGGAAGCATGAATCCAGATCCCAGCTTGGATAGTATTGGACTACCTCATGAAATGGACCAGCCAAGCGTTGAAGCGTCTTGGAATCCATTCATAGAAAAAATAGGACAAATAGATTCAGATGACATGCAAAGAATAGCATCAGATGAGTACAAACAGGCAGGAACGATTTGTTGGACAAAGGAAGAATATAAAAATAGCGAGCATGGCAAAGCCAATGCTAACGTTGGATTATTTGAAATCAGACATTATCCAAATGCCACCCAAGGTGCAAGTTGGTGGCCTGAAACAGAGCAAACAAGTGCAAAGCGACCTTTGGCTGGCTTGAAAATCGTTGACATCACCCGAGTCATCGCAGCTCCAGCAATCGCAAGGGGTTTAGCAGAATTGGGTGCAAGTGTCATGAGGATCACTCCTCCACATCTCCAGGACTACTCTCAACTGCACTGCGATCTAAATTGGGGAAAATGGAACACCCATTTGGACTTCAGGAACAAGGATGATCTTGAGAAAGCCAAGGAATTGATCCGAGACGCAGATGTTGTTGTTACTGGTTACAGACCGGGAGTCCTTGATAAATACGGGCTCGGAAATGATGGCATTCGCGAGCTAGTCAAAGGCAGAAGTCGAGGTATTATCATCGCAAGAGAAAATTGTTACGGATGGCATGGTCCTTGGTCATATCGAAGTGGATGGCAACAGATTAGCGACGCAAACTGTGGTGTCTCTATGGAATTTGGTCGATCTATGGGCAACGATGAGCCTGTCACACCTATCTTACCAAATTCGGACTACTGCGCTGGAGTTTCAGGTATTGTTGGAATCCTTCAAGCACTGATACAGCGCTCAGAAACTGGCGGCTCCTACGAAATGGATGTGGCTCTAAACTACTATTCTCAGTGGCTTGTCAACTCATGTGGCATGTATCCACAAGAAGTTTGGGAGGATCTATGGTCAAGGAATTGCAAACCTGTATTCCGACACTACCACAATATGAACTATACAATGCCCAGGCTATTCCAGACCCTAATAAAGTCAGGCACTGGCAAAACTATCTTACGCGATGAATTCTTCGAGAATAGAGAAACTAAGGCTGTCGGGGTAAATATCAAAACTGTAAAACCTATTTTAAGGTTCCCGAACAACGAGGTGGAATTGAGGTACAATGTTGGTACCAGAACAAACGGTGTTGATGCTGCGCATTGGCCGACTGATCTGATGACAGAAATAGTAGTATAAATGCCTATCAATTTTGACTATTATTCACTTGTGAGTAACAAAGCCACTTTTTTGCAACCGTAGAGACCCGTGGACTGTATCGAAAGGCGATACACCGCACAACTACTGTCTCATTCGTTAATATGAAATATCGCTGCGCCGCAATACCTTGCGTGCTTTTCCACAATGAGCTGACTGAGTTATCACCGCCACCAACTATTGGTATCTGCTAGTTCAATACTTCATCTGCTAGTTCTTTGTTAATGTTGCACATCTCTACTCCCCTACTACCTTTACTAGTTGCATAACTTTTACCTCTTCACAAGTACCAGTTGGTAATCTATCATCATGATGTCTCTCCCTGACTCAGTTTACGGCTCTCAACTTCCACAACCAGAGCTTGCACCCGAGATAATTGGGGCTCTGGCCTTCGAGCGCTCTAAGTGGGCCACCGGTTGTGTTCATAGCGATCCTTTCTATACCCTCGCTCTGAAAACAACTTCAGACTCCTCACTCCCAGGAACCCTCCTAAAAGTCCAATAAAGTGTCGATCCTACCTTGTACTCTATTCCTTCTTCCGTCTCAATCTCGCGTCTCATCTACCAGTCTCTTACTCTTACCGGAGACCCCATTCCTGTTTCCGCGTACATAACTTGGCGACTTCTCTCTTGAAGGAACTCAGATGGCAGCTCCCAAATCGTCGCCTGGGCCCATGGAACCTCTGGTATTTTCTCCGAATGCGCTCCTTCTCACCTCCGAAATCTACACCAGCACTTCCTCGCGCCCTATGCTTTAGTTTTGTTCGGCTATCCAATGTCATCGTTGCCACTGATTATGCCGGTCTAGGCGTCTCCCATTGCTCTCAGCCACAAAACCAATTGATTATTCATCACTATCTCGCCAATCCTGCCGCTGCGAATGATGTGATATGTTCGATTGTTGCGGCTCGTTCTGCGTTTCCACCCTTAGGATCAAAGTCTGTATCAATTGGTCATTCTCAAGGTGGAGGTGCAGTTTGGGCCATTGCACAATATAATTCTAAAGAAAACATCGAAGTGTACCTTGGAGGCGTTGCAATCATTCTTACAACAGATATTAGAAGTAATTTTGATCCAATTGAAGCTGTCGTCTAGGCGGGAATGATGCTAGGTCTGAAGAATGTGTTTCCCAAATTCCAGTATCCAGATGTTTTACCGAGGAGGGGCTCGCTGCAGTGAACACTTATAGAGAAGTTGAGGGAGGCTGCGCAGTGGGAATGGGTCTATTCTTATCATTGGCACTGGAGGGGACTTTGCTAAGAGATGGGTGGAGAGATAATGAATGGGTTGTCAAATATAATGATTTGATAATGAGCGAAGGCAAGGAAATTGGCGGAACGCTGTTGGTTATCCATGGAGAGAGAGACCCGATCATCGATTTTACTCTTACCGAGAAGGCTGTACATGATATAGCTATGGAGTATCCTGATTTTGAATTGGAATTCATAAGACTACCCACTACGCACGACTCGGCCATCACAGGAAGTCAGTGGTTATGGATGGATTAGATTAGAGAGAGATTCGAGAGCAAAGCGATAGAGAGATGTGGGGATATGTACTCAGAAAACGGGAAATTGAATCGGGAGACAAGTATTGATTCGGAAAGACCGAAGGAGAGTTATGGATTTGAGACTAACTGGTTCATGGCAAGCGCAACTGAGAATTATCACAAATTTTGACCGACATACTTGCGCGACTATGGGATAAAGTTTTCAATAGTCTAGTCTAGAATATGGAAATGAAAGCCTTTGAAATTATGAGCCCAGTTCAGGATGCTTACCTGAACCCTCTCATTCACTTCAGGTATTAGAGAGTTTCTTGAAGTAGAAAGTTTGAATCTAATTTAGATTTTTGAATTTCCTGTACAGATAAAATGATCGCTTATGTTTTGAGAATCATGACTAAACTTGATCAAGTATCTGAATCTTCCTAGTATTGGCTAATAATACTGGAAAAGACGTGATACTAGAGCGGGTATCAGGATGACTTGCTGACAACGGTAGGAGATAAATTCAAAGACGCCCAAAACCCAAGACCGTGGCATTGCCATCGGCTTCAAGAGACATACCATGTTACATGTTTTAGAGAGAGGAAGATAACAGATAGATCACAGAGATTGGTCAAAGTGAGTTGAGGGGTGAGACCCCTGGTCAATACCAAGTATCACACAACTTCAATTATTGGTAAGATAACGAGAGATTCATCTCAATGCAGATATATAATCTGAACCGGGACGTCATTTCTCTCAAACAATCTATTCTAGGAAATCTGATGTTGCATCGTAAGTTTTCTGTAGGTAATATGTATTGTGGTCGTTGATAACGAAATGCATGTAACCTATGACGAGCTTACAGGATTAGATCCACATCAACCACACAACTATGCTATCAACCCTAGCATCTAATACTTTCCTCACTGCCGATTGCGACCCCAGTAATGGCGCAATGAAACGGTAGAGTGTGGGATTTTATGCTGTTAGACGATTGGTCGCTCCGAACGTCGTACATTATCACGGCTGTGGTGCAATATCTCGCCAATTGTGCGAGCTGAGACAGGGAGTTGTTACGGCTTTTGACAAGCTGCTTGGTTTTGGTACTTATAGATGAGGCTCGCCGTGAGTAATGAAGATTCAACTACGGGAGGCTTGTAATCAAGATGTCGGAGACCAAGGATTCAGGAATTGTGGTAAACCGCCATACTGGAGAAGCGGAAGTCAGAGAACTTGGAGCGCTAGAGTTCATTCATGTATACGGAAATAACGGATCGAAACCATCGTATCAAGAAGCTTCAGGAGCACCAGTCGAAAATGAATCGCCTCTTGGTTTGCAAGTTACGTGGTTCACTACAATCTTTTTGAACATTGGTATTGTTCACCCCATTTACAATTCAGAAAAGACTACTAATTACCTACAGGTCAAATGATTGGCACAGGTGTCTTCTCAACTCGTACGTTGTAAAAAATATCACATCAAACTCAGGCTAATGGTTTCCAGCCGCAAGCATCTTGTCAGCAGTGGGTTCAGTCGGTCTAGCTATGATCTATTGGACACTCGGTCTACTCATCTCCGGTTGTCAATTTTCAATCTATACCGAACTCGCCAGTTTCTTTCCGAATAGATCTGGAGCTGAAGTAGTGTACCTGGAACAAGCGTATCCGAGACCAAGATATCTTCTGCCGACCACGTTCGCTGTGCAATCGGTTTTACTTTCCTTCAGCAGTAGTAATGCTATTGGTAAGTGGCTTCTCAAAGTTGCAATTAGTATCAATAAAAACTAATGACATGATTAGTCATGGGTAATTATCTATTTGCTATGGCTGGTTACACACCCTCATCTTGGGAGCAGAAGGGATTGGCAGTTGCTTGCATAACTTTCATTACCCTTCGTTAGTATTAATTCCCTCATGAAATTAAAAGCGGCTGACGTAGTATCATAGTGGTGATATTTAGCACTAAACATTCTCTCCGAATATCAAACGTGATCGGAGTGATCAAGCTCATAACGCTCATATTGTAAGTCGAGACATTCATTTTGCTTTTTTCATTTTAACTGACACATTCCTTTAGCATCTCAATCGCGGGTCTCGTGGTACTAGGTGGCCACACTAATGTTGCAAATCCCACAGAGAACTTCAAAAATGCCTTTTCCGGTACGACAAATAGTGGTTATGGACTGGCAAATGCACTAGTCAAAATAACCTTTGCCTACGCTGGATATGCAAATGCATTCAATGTGATTGCAGAAGTAAAAGTAAGATTTGAATATCCCGCAACAGGTTTAAGAAAATACTGATATTCTCAAGGACCCAATAAGAACCATAAAACGTACCGGACCCGCTTCGCTTCTCGTTGTGGCTATTCTCTACATTCTTTGCAATATCGCTTATTTTGCAGCTAGTATATAACCCCTCTAACCACCTCTAGGACCTGACTAACACACCCTCTAGTCCCTAAAGAAACTCTCAAAGAATCAAATCAACTCGCCGCCTCTCTTTTCTTCACCGCAGTATTTGGTGCCGGTAAATCTGTTCGCGCGCTCAATTTCCTCATCGCTCTGTCGGCATTTGGAAACATTGTCTCAGTCACCATAGGGTCATCTCGCATCATCAGAGAATGCGGTCGTCAAGGTGTACTTCCATATCCTCGTATGTGGGCTTCTACTCGACCTTTCGGAACTCCTCTTGCTGCTTACATTCTAAAATGGGGTTTGACTATTCTCATGATTTTGGCCCCACCTTCAGGTGATGCTTTCAATTTTATCGTGGATTTGTATAGTTATCCAAGTAATCTGTTTTTATTCGCATTGACTGCGGGATTACTCATTATTAGGAGGAACAGAAAGAAACTAGGTATCGTGGACGATGACTTTAAAACGTGGGATGTAGCGATCTATTTCTCATTGGCGGTTAATATTTTCTTACTGGTTATGCCATGGTATCCTCCTCCCGGAGGAGCTAATGGTGGCGATGTGAGCTTTTGGTATGGTACTTATTGTGCCGTTGGCTTGGGTATCATGGGTGCCTGTATCCTCTACTACGCTTTCTGGATCTACATTCTGCCGTACTTTGGTAAATACCAGATCCGGCAAGAATTGATAGTTATGGATGGTGAAAGTTCAAAAGCTCATCGGCTGATCAAAGTACCAAATGCTGAGCTGGAAGCTTGGGACAGAGAGCATGATGCGTTGGGGAGAAAAATCGATTCAAGTTCGCCATCGGAGGATGGTGGGGCTGAGAACGTTTTGGAAAAAGAGTGAAACATTGAAGGCAACTGGAAGAGTTTAGAATGCGGGATGCATTCACGACATGGAATTTCATGGAACTTGAACAGTAGATGTCATTGAGGCTTCGGCAATTAGCCGAGCCTTTGCAAAGAACAGGCCGCGCCTAGTTCGGTCTCCTAGCCAGGTTATTTGCAGCCTCTCTCAGAGTGTAAGACTTATTATTAGGGTTCTCCACGCCTTATTTATATGAAGATTTTATTGATCATTGAATGTATTGGATTCATGCCAACAGCCTGCATGTAGTGATTTGACCAATTGGGGGAAGTAATGGAGTTATTAGCCTTATAAAACGATCTTGACTTTGGAAAAAGACATCATATCCCGAAATGCCGATCTTTCTAAGTTCAATCCCAGCATCCATGGCAAAAAGCTGACACTGGTGATAAATAATGTCATTTCTTTCCCTTCAAGAATCATCCGTTGAAAAATTACTTTCTACAACAAATAATAGCTCGGCCTGTTGATGGTTTGCGAAGACACTTCATCATTTCCCTTGGATTCGGGGTTTCATATTCTCACACCATTCTTGATGATACATAAAATTTCATGAGATCCATATGGCGCCAATGGCAAGCACTCTTTGCTCTTCAAAGATTTTCAACGAAAGATGATAGATATTAGACCCGATCACTACGAGGGTGTGTTTTTGATGAATGCCGGATCTGTGCGCAGGGACATTTCCTTATCAAAATAAGCACAAACTTATCTATTTTGAAATTCAATAATAATTAAAATAAATATAGTATTTGAAAAATCTTTTTAAATTTAAATAATTTTTTATATCAAGATTTATATATAAGTTTGGTAAAATAGAGTTATTAATATTTATAAAGTTATATTCATTATAAAAATCATATTGTAAATCCAAAACAATTCAGCCTCGACTAGAGCTGACATCACGGCTATCGTAAATCACGATTGCATCGAGTTCAAAGATGAAAATCAAAATCTACGAAATGATCGAAATATAAAGAGACGAAGAAAAATTGTCTGACTTGCTCCTCATAGTAGCTTTCATTGAGGTTTTATAAAATAAATTGAGAAAGAATGAGAATAAGAAGCGCAAGTTATTCGAACGTCAGCCAGCGAGCCCGTAATAGCTCGAGTAAAAAAAGGAACAATGATAATCAGCGGATAATGATTGTAGGAAGAGATGGATAATTTGAAATTCGATGATAGATGAAATGTACCATGGATTGGAAATATGAAGGTTATCGAATTGTAGAGATGACATGGCCACCTCACCTTGTACCTGTCACATGGAAGCCGCATAAACATGCGTGTACACTATATTGTTTTATATTGGCTATGCATCGTCGTGTTGTTATATTTTTGGCGACTTGAAGGAATCCCTCAAGTAGCGAAATGGGTATTTATTTGCATAGCTCTTCTCCGACCATGAGCATTAATGGCTCAGCGATGATGTCCAAAGTGTCCCTCCTAGTGGTTTGGTTTCGGTTGTGAAAATTTTGAGGCGCCTGAATATGTGAGATAACAGGCTCAGTCGGCTTGGAACCATGTTTTGCAACTGCGGAAATACAAATTATTGCCTTCTCAATCGGTCCTTGGACGTTTGCTAGCCTCATCGCCCTCATCGTGACCATTTACTTCAGCCTCTCCGTCGACCTCATCGTGACCCCTAACCCTTCCAGCGCCTTCACCAAGTACTTCAACAGATTCTTCACCTCCAATCCAATTTCCATCTGCGTCAAAATATTCCGAAACATTCTCCGCAGTGATCCAGCCGCCACTACCTGGAAATGGAGGGGGTAATCCACCATCCGTAGCTCCTTGTTGTACTCCTGGAAGTCCAGTAACACCTTCATATCCGACATTACCTTCGAATTGAAATTCAGGACCTCCTTCTTCCATATCTTCGTCTTCGTCTGGTACAAGATTTGAGCAATTCGTCAAAGCTTCGTATAATGTTTGTGTAGTATCAGATTCGGCGGGAATAAGAACCAATTCGATAATCGATGGCATGTCATCTCCAGCTGGAGGAGGTGTCTCTAACTGCATAAATAACCCAGATACCTCTCCTTTCGATGCATCTGTAGGATCAGGTAGACGTTGAATGGCATGTAAGGATATAGAAGTATAGGGAATTGCGAGTCCAGCTGAGGTAGTATTATTGAATATAGTGACATTCCTAGATGAAATAAACAAGTCAGCCTTTGCGCAATGTGTACAATGGTGAGAGATGAACAATTACTCGGTAGAAATGTAGGCGTCCACTGTCTCTACAACAGCTGCCTCCGAATTCTGTGCTGGACCCTCTGCAAAGAATGGCAATTCTTTTATATAGTCTCCATAGGCAGCTGCACGCGCAGCTTTAGCATGATAATGTAACACAGGTCTAGCATCGTAGAATGTGGTTGGTGTTTGTGTTTGATGTTCTACTAAAGGTGTGAATGAGTCCAAAGCTGGCGCCGAGTGTATCGTTGATAGAGGCATTTTGGGTTTCGAATGGAGAAGGCAAAGTAAGGGTATCTAAAGCTTCGAGATTCCTGAATCGCTTTAATTCGACTCCGAGTTTTACAAGTTTCGTGAATAAATGACAATCGACTGCTGTCCAACAAATCCAACAGACCCCTCTAGAATTGTTTCTATAAGGCTGAATTGAGGGAAAGTGTTCGGAGAAAGCGGCCGCTCGGACCAATATTTATCCGTAGAAATTCCCACTATCAGGACTTGTGCAAGTCTCAGTTGCGTAGGTACTGGTAGCAAGTACAGATGAATATCTTTGTTCGTGATATTTGTTCGTGCTTCAACCACCATGACTCTTTCAAGTGCATATGCGTACCGGATGTCAAAGCGAGCAAACATGAGCGACCTATCATATTGCACTCCTTCTATTCAAGACATTAAACTCTCAATCAGGGAAGGATCCATCAAAAAGTAAGAAAGTGAAGCTAACTAGTCCAACAAACGAGCATCTGACAGAAGTCTGTGGTATATATGCGGACCTCCAACGAGTCCTATACGATTCCAAGCAACAAAGCAAAACTGCAAATATTATTCCCCTCCTGCACTCTTTATGTATGGTTGTACCTATAGACACCAATTACTCCGTATTTTCATCATCGCTTTCCTTCTTTTTCTCTTCGCCATTCTCTTCCTCGCTCTCTCTCTCCTCTTTCCACTTGATTCGGCCCATAACTAATTCCTTTAAAAATCCGTTTTCGCCTTCTAGTTCCTTTATTCTACATTCCATCATCTCAATCCTCTCTTTCTGTTCTTTGACATTGATTTCTAGGCTCTTTTCTCTCTGTTTCTTTTTCTGGCGAAATCGTGCTGAGGCTGCAGTCGATGCATCGCGCTTGGCATTTGGTTCCCTTGGGGAAAGCGACTGTGTGGGCGAGGAGAGTGTTTTGGCATATAGAGGTGCTGATGGTGGGGGCTGAGCGTGCAGATATGGATGCACAGGTATGGCTAATGAGAGTTAGTACCTCGAAAATCATGAACTATAATGTTCTGCGGGGAATATTGGGGTATGACGGTTGGCGTTATTTTTCCCGAGCACTTTGTGCTAAAACGCAGAAACCTTTTCAGTCGCCTGCGGGTGCGTTCTTCTGCCCACAGAGCGAAAGAGATAAATCAGAACTCACCGGCATTCTGTCTATCGACCCAATTCATTACACCCCCCCACATATCAATCGAACCCTCACTACTATCCGAGGCCGGGTATGGCGCTATTGGGGTATTATAGCTCGAATTCTGCGCCAGCCCTTGAGTGAATACTCTAAGATCATGCTGGGCCAGGGCAGGATCTAAATATGAATGCTGTTGCTGCTGCTGCTGTTGCTGAAAACTGGGTTGTGGTTGAGGATCGAAATGCTGCGATTGGTAGAGAAGCTCCGATTCTGTTGTCGGAGCGATAGACGGATATATCTGCGTGGCCGTCATGGCGACTCGGTATATGGTAAATTGTTGTGCTAATTTGATGTGACAGGACGACAAAACAAATACACCAGAAATGCAGATATCACACAATCTTCAGGGTATTTATTATAGCACCCCGCCCAGTTGACTCGAGCACAAAGCTGGAAATCGAAGTTCGACAAGTGGGATATGTTTGATTTATGGATGTCTATTGGCGGTAGAGCGTACGAATATTATGTAAGTATGCTCTATCTATATGCGATAGCGTGGAGAAACTTCCAGGGTCGTGCCGTGGAGATAGGGTGAGGCGTCGTAAGGCGCAGGTGAATGGATCCCAAGTGTGCGGAAAGGAACGCCCGAGACCAGCATCTATGGAAGAGGCAAAAAAATGCGTGGGATTTCCTCATCCAGTATGATCCCTAATGTAGAAGTGAAAAAAGAAAGGCCTGATTTGATCAATTTGTTCTGCGAATGTGTTTCAAACGACCACTTGTACTATCTAGCGAATGTGCGGAATAAGAATCCTGGCGAAGTGACACCGGCGAAATCCTACAGTGACACAAACTTCAGAGTAATAACGAATAACGAATGATGAAGACGAGATATACGGACTATCGAGTTTTACCCGAATACCTTCAACATATAAAGCTTTATATGTTCCATTCAATCAGGCTCTCTCGATTACCGAGCTATAACTCTATTCAACAAAAGGACCGAAGAAAACAAAGATATTACGAAATGTTGAACCTCTTTCAACAGACAAAGGAAGTCGAGATCGAAGAATTTTGAACCTCCTCTCAGGTAGCCCACTTTACTAACCAAGGTGACATTGACAGGATGTATTCAAATCCAATCAATCCTTCGTATAGTAATTAAATTTCCGATTTCCGATTGGACTCCACTTGAGTCGATGGCGCCTTGTATCAAAAACAATGATAGAGTGGATGAAGTGGACACGGTAGCTAAGAGCTTTCACATCTCGCGGACTGTTCCGAGTCCAAGTGCTCAATTCATGATATATAACTTCTCAATTGTCCGCTATTTCCCAATCATTATTTTCGAATACTCAGGCTGAATAAGCTACAAACCCCACTCATGCAGCTGAGAAACATCAATAAAGCCACCAAATGTATCAGAAAACCACCAGTGTCACGATTGATGAAGGGGTGGAAAGGCATCAGTACAAATTTGTACTTCTCCCGAGTTGCTTACCCGGTCGAGTGGGGGTTCCACAAAGACTTGCTAGCATGCATGCGCATTGTAGAAACAAGTATTTCTACAGGAGTTATCATTTTGGGCCATGCGTCGCTGAACTCAATTTTGTTATCACTCTCCCGCCTTTCGCCGGCAACACTCACAAACCCTTTATCAAAATGTTATAAAACACTCCTCAATAACCGTATCTACTTTTCTTCCTCTTTCTTCTCCCTTATCTCTTCTCTATGTTAAGGTTCGAGCCTCTTAGGAGCACCAAAGGAATAATTGAAAAGTTCGATTTTCCGAGGTGTATTGAGCACGCAATACAGGGGTTCGATGAGCTCTTCGATTTACGCGAGATGGACGGCTGGTAGACCAAATTTTCGAATTTTTTATCTCTCTTAAGTTTCAATGAATGCCCGCTCATGCATTTCGCAGAAGGAGCCGTTTTCTTGCAATCAGGAAATCCCCTCTCAATTATAGTGATGATGATTATGGAGATTGTCGTCAATGAGTGAAATAGGAGTTCGCTTGGCAAGTCTTCCGATATTTCTCCGTTAGTGCTCTCAGATCTCAAGTTGAGGTTCTGGTGGGAGGATTGAAATTCGCGGCGTGGGGTAATCAGCGGAAGGTGTGCCGGGTTCTTTTATGATATCATATGGTGGTATTTCGATTATCGAAGAGAGTTATTATGCTGGGAAGTTTTGTGGATATTTTCCAAAAATATGTGCCGGTTCTGATAAACAGGGAAACATTATTTTAGATCTTCATCAAGCAGTTTCATTGCGTTATCTTGCAGTTGAGTGTTCATTGTGGGTGATGATCGATCTCTTTCAAAGTTTCTTGAATACTATGTATTAGTCGGGGCTCGAAGACTTGGATTGATATAATCAATTAGCGGAGACAATCCCAGGCAGTACCCTTTATACAGGTGCTTTCTCCTCACTGATATTGTGTTCAAAGAGAATGTCGATTTTTCACACAACATTGAGCCGCGAAGTTTCATTGGAATGACAATCAAATCTACACATACGATATATCTTTTCAAATACGTAAGTCATCGAGAATAGCAATTCCGGATAGGTTACTAAGCCACCAACTTTCATTTCCATCTGAAAGATATTCTTATCTTGCTCAACACAAGATTTTTGGACCAAATTAGCTTCTTACTACTCTCGAGTCTCGAATTCAATGAGCTTTCTTCAGACAATCACATTTCTGAGCCCCCATTTTGACGCGTAGAACTTTTCATCATGGATTACAAAGCTGGATGTATTGTGTTACCTTCTTATTTATAACTATATCCACATCCACGCACTAACACCAACATTATCATCACATCTCCATCTACCACGCACGCACGCGCTTCAATAGAGTACGTAGCTCCTTATCCACATCCACGCGCACCTCCGCACAAAGCTTGATTGATAACGATATCGCGATTTGTCTCTCTCATCTCCACCTGCAACTACAGTTCTATCTCCGAGTCCTCTCCACACTATCGTTTCCTATCCCAGCGGTGAGAATGACAGATAACCTCTCCACACCAGCAATACAGCAATACAGCAATACAAAACCACCATCCAATCTAGAATTTGGCCCAGCAGATACAATCGAAGAAGTCAAAAGGAGTGGAGAACAATATATAGCGGTGAGTAGTGCGTATGCAAATCTACGTATATATGTATCTTCTATTTATTTCATCTTGTTGTAGGAGGTGGGTGATATGTGTATACATACCTAGGTACTTAAACACAGTATGGATGATACTCGGAGATGTTCATTTTGACGACCATAGTATGACGATGATGGAAATAGGAATATTGAGGGAAGATGTATAGCTTGATGATTAATGCTAGGGAGGTAGGTATGTAGATAGTGTACATGTTCATGTAGGAAAGTGAATCCTTTTAAGGTGGGAATGATGTGAGATATCTAGTATCTCCAGCGCTAGGTGGGTGTATAGATATAAACCCCTCGCCCTCCTCTTTAAGTCTTATTGATTCTTCCTTTTCTCTAGAAAATAGATGGCACAGAATTCTTCACCATTTATAGCAAGATATCTCAACCCGACCTAACGCAAGTCAGCCTCGAGCGAATATAGTAATGTCCTATGTCTCGCACAGTTCCCACATCTCCTCTAAAGTCATAACAACATATAATAAGTAGTCGTTACTATAGTTCCAACTTCCCATCTTCTTGTATCTCATCTTTCCAAACCTTATCTTCATATTTCCACATTCCTATATCCTCATATCCTCATCTCTTTAGCTCATTATAATCCACGATATCTCTACACCCACTCCAAGATTCCGATATCCACTCCCAAGATCAAGACATGCAACATCAGTTCTCTGAATACAATTCGACTTCTGCATCCTCACGTCCTCACATCCTCTATATCTAATTATTGAAATAAACTTTATACCATTCATATCTAATAATCCTCATATCCCCCCATCCCCCCATCCTCCACACAAAAACCAAACATCATCCTCCCCATCAACCTCCCTATCCATCCTCACATCCTCCCACCCCCCATCCAAGAACCAATTCCTAACCATCAGCTCCCAACAACTCCCAACACCTACCCACCCACCCAACCAAGAAAATTCAAACGCACAGCTCAAGAACCCATTAACAAATACCAAGGTACCCGCGTATATTTTACGATCCAATATACTACCGTCAAATGCTTCATTTACTTCTCCATCTCCCCATAACCCCCTTATAAACCAACTCCACCTCATAAATACCTACTTATTGACTCATATACCTCTCTACCTATCCATCCATCCACAGCACACCAGATCACACCAGATCACACCAGATCACACCAGATCACACCAGATCACACCAGATCACACCAGATCACACCCGCCCCTCTCCCCCCCCAAAAAGAAAAACCCCAGCAAAAACAAAACAACCATCCAAAACACCTAACCAAAACAACCATTTACCTCAAAAACAGCATTTTTTACTATGTACCAGAAGAAACCCATACTAATCTCGATGTATGTATACATTATAAGCGTCGCCTATATAGAACAAGTCAGTAAGGAAGTCAGTGATACCGCTTACGAAGTAACGATACCTACCTGTAGCATTCTTCCCCAAGAACAACACAACAGTCCGAATTCACACGTATACTGGACACAAGAAGCCCCAACGAATCAAGTAAAGACTCAAATCAAACAACAAATATCACGCTTCAAAACTTTCAAACATAAATTTAGACTTAACATTGTATGCAATTCATGCATCAACAGTCTAAGTACGCAAATCATTGATCAAAATGTATCTATCGACCTAAATCGATCCCCATGGCAGCTTCCCAAAGAATATCACTGAGATGACCTCCAAGACGTTATCGATTATCATAGTAGCTTCCCAAAGTGCTCCCAATTCCCTTCCTCCCTTTGTATATTTGTATCTTATTATTTCTTACGATCACTACCGAGATGTTAGCTATGGTAAGTTTGATTGGGGTCTAGGTTTGTAACTCACGTGCTAAGCCTTCTGGAAAGCAATTGTAACCCCTTGTCATTATCAGCCTCCCTCTTCGCTCTCTCCAAGGCTTGCTCTCGTCCCTCTTCATTCTGTCTCGTGACTTCTTCGTGACTAGGTGGGAGACGTTCATTTTGCAAATCAACCTTTCGTGCATCCTCAAAATTAGTAATCGCGTTCTTGATACCTTCTGCTCCAAGCATCAAAGTTCCAGCTGGAAGTCTGCCACCAGCTGCGGTCTTCAACTCGGTAACTCTCTCGGATTCTTCTCGTAGAACTTGGAAGACTCGGGAAAGACGACCGATTGCAAGAATTTTGTT